AGTGGGAAAACTCCCCCCTCATAACAACTGAAATGTGATCTGCCGCCTGCATGCTGTGCTGTAAAACTCCAGGCGGTAAAGCCACCCCTTTTTACCTTTGGCTGTGTCCACTTCAAATATGTTATAGTATCCACCGAGTAAACTAGTCTCGGGTCACCAGTAAAGCTGTCAAATCAATGCAGTTTGAACAGGAAGCGTGTCAAAATGGAGTGAAGTAAATTGTACTTAAACGTTCGCACTGGCATTGCCGTCGTTGGCTGGTGTCGGTGCCAGACGTGTTTAGCGTGTTGTGGGTTTATAATAATTTGTAGTTGGGTTGATAACACTGAGCCAGACTTGTTTCAACATGAGTGCACGCCCCCTGCTGCTTCAAAGCAAACCGGTAGGAGCCCGACGAAGCGCTCTTTGTGGAGGTGCAGCGACTGTTTGTGGAAAAGGAGTGCAGTGGTAAAAATGTTAGTCGCGGTGAGAACAGTGGACAAGTGAATTGCATGTCCGTCTAACAATTTTGGGGTTTGAATCCCTGCTCTGACCTTTCTTTGATGTGTCATGTTTTGGAATGTGGGTGGAGGCTACAGTGACCACTGATCGTTTTCAAAAGGTTCCACCTTTTGGAAAAATGTCCTTCAAGTTCTATGAGATCTTACTTATTGGATGATCACAGGTTGTTTTTTTTTCCCTAAACATTGTGTCCTAATATTTTTAGAGCAAGGCTCTTTTTAATATGTCTTAAGCAACTGTAACTGAATCACATAACCACACGTTCTCACTGAAGATTAGGAATCGACTACTGTACTTGCATTAGGCCTGACCTGAATTTCAAGTTTGACTTGATGATAGGTCGCATCATAAGTCATGCAGGCTCGCGCAATAACTCCAACGAGGAAAATATTTTTCAGTTGGCACACAACATATTGGACTTGAACGACTATGTTTGCCAGCTGTGCAATTCTTCGGTAAAGATCACATTATCGTGTGGCTGAAAAGACACGGTATCCATGCTCCTACTCTTGCCATTTTATTATTAGGCCTTCTTGCAATTGTTCACCTCCTGATGATAAGAATCACCCTTTTAGGGAGCTTCTTGCAAACTTCTTACAAGCCAACACGACCCCCCTAAAACTCATTCCGTAAGCCCTGGAAAGTTGGTGGGAAAAAAAATAAAAATACTGTGACCCCGATTGACGCCAACTTGGGTTTACATGTCACAGAACATACGGAAAGGTCTCAAAAAAGGTGGCAAAAATAGTAGAGGAATCAGTCATTTGGGTTTGAAGCAGCCATTTTGAGGGCAAATTCCATGAGAAAGATCTCTGTAAAGTTAGACAAAATAAAATGGACCTCCTGACACCAGTTTCGTCGATCGACACCAAATTGGGTGGGCATGTCGATCTTAACAGAAGGCCCGAACAAGTTTCAAGGACCCACGCTTGAAATGACAGAGGCAGACTGACATTTTGGTTCGAAGCAACGATTATAGAATTCTCAGGTTCGAACTCTGACATAGTCCAATGATGAAACTGACCCCAGTGAGCCCCAATTGGAAGCAGGTATCAAAGACAAATGAAAAATTTTGTATTTATTTATTTTTTGCCCATGTCAACTAATATGAGCGTAGCATGGCGTCAGAGTTTGATGGTCATTGTGAGGACTTGCCATGAAAACATGCGCGAGATTCGGCATTGTTTTAATATTTTATTGTGTTTTTATGTTATTAATGTATGGTTTTGACTCTCTTTCTTTTGGTATGCATGTCTGATTTTTACTTTATGTACAGCCCTTTGTATGCAGCTGTGTTTCTTTTTAAACTGCTCTTTAAATAAAGTTGAGTTGAAAAAAGGGGGAGTGAGTCGTCCTTTCACTACTTGTTCCTTTAATTCTAATTTGGGTGGTTCTTTTTAATGGGGTGGTCTTTTTACATACTGTTAATAGCTATTCTGATGGTGGGTCAATGGGGGGAAAAATGAAGGTAAATGATGTCGATGTATAAAATGAGGCAAAGCTATCATGGGCTGCTTCACTTATTGGAGCAATGAGCACCATTCATTCATACAGAAGGGGTCATAAACGGCTACAAACCCCAAAAGGTGCAGTGAAAGAGGGGCATTATTTATGCCACATTCCGTATGGTATTTTTTAACAGGGGCAAGTGAAGCACAATCGCTATTGGGGAAACAAAAATAAATCTCCAGGAGTGTATTTTTGTTGCAGATGGAGCCGATAGCAAGACTGCGAAGTCTATGTGGCTTATGGAAAAAAAAAAGTGCACTAATTTCACTCAGGCAGACCTTACAGCACACCGGACTGCGAGAGCATTTAATCTGAGCTGCTATGGAATTCTATTTAAAAAAAAAAACAAACAAACAAATAAAAAAACTTTTTAATAAAATTGGCCTCAGAGGAAAAAAGGTGTTTTCAAGGCATACAATGAGGCTCCTTTGACACGAAACCGTGCATACATAGCACACAGTGAAGGCATGGTCAGCTGGAGTGATGCGTCGGGAGCAGCCGGGGGTCAACTGTGTAGCGCAAGGTCACATAGACGGCAGCAACACCATAATATACACACTGGCGTGTCCCTCACGCTCCTATCTATCTATCTATCTATCTATCTATCTATCTATCTATCTATCTATCTATCTATCTATCTATCTATCTATCTATATGATGGTATTTCTCATCATTTATTAGGCCTACACATTCATTTTAATTAGAACAATCCCGTGGGACACTACCAAATGAAAAGTATTCATGCCGAATTAATGATGATCTCGTCCCAATTTCCTCACAAGTGACACATTGATTGTGAAATCATTGTTCTGTCTGCCGCTTTATATTACTGGCATAGAGAGATGAACAAATATATATTTGCAATGAATCACTCATTTCCAAATTAAGTGAAATTAGATCATTCTGATACAGCACATTGGGATCTGTTTAGAGTCACTAATGATTTAGAATGAGCCTCTTTGGAAAGTAATGGACGAACTTTTACTTCACCTTTGTGGAAAATGTCTTCTGGTCAACGTGAGATGAATTGGACTCCACGGTGCGTATTGCTGACATGTGTCTTTTCAACTTATTTGCCTGCAGTTGGTGAAGTTCGTCGGTGGCCTGTCGCCAAAGTAAAGAAATATGGTGGTGAACATATCTCCTTTTCTTTTGTAAAGGTTAGTCAGGAGTAACCTATGCTAAAGGGAGGTTAAAGGTTGCATCCAGGCACCTTTCTTCAGCATTTTTAGAATTCTTTCCACCAAGTACTTAGTCACGGGTCATCTCGCTCGGATAGGAACGGAAAGGAAAGTTCCTAAGGAAAAAAAAAAATCCACAGAGACCCCGTGTTTATCTCTCTATTTATCTACAGTAGCTATCTACTTGCCTAGCTCTCTATCTACAGCAGGTCCTGGAAAGATACGGCCTAGGGCCACATTTGGCACGTCCACAGTCTCCGGCTGGCCTTGGTGGTGTTCATGCCAATAAAATAAACATACAGTACGTGGTGCTTTTTATTTTAATGGGCTTGCATGCGGACAGTACAAGCTAGCAAGAGCTACAACTTATGTCTGCGATGCTGCTAACAATTTGGCTGTAATTTAGGGACTTTTCCGCCCCTCTAGCGACTCTTTCACAAAAAGAGACAAGTGAAAATGAAGAGGGCCATGGGGGATTTGGCCTTATAATATGCACATCAACAGTTTCACAGACTGTACATATTGGATATATCATAATTCATCGTTGTGTCGTAATATAGCACTGTCAATTATATGCCTTACACTTATCTAGTTATCCATCTGACTGCCTATCTACTTTTTGATTTAGGAGTCCCTGCTACAAACAGCTAATACAATGATGCCTTGAAATATTAATTTAATTTGCTCCTAACTCAAAAGACTGGAATCGCAAATCATCTTTCCTCGTTGAAATGAATGGAGATCCCACTAATCCATTCCAGCAACACCCCCCCGCCCCAAAAAAAAAAGGAATGTGCTATGAGGAAAAATAGCCCTCTAAAATATTTAAAATATGGTTCTTTACAATAGCAAAGGCATGCATTCAAAATAAAATTAAAAGGATTCCTGTTGTGGGTGCATTGGCCACTGGCGGCCAGTGTAAAACAGACATATAGCTCAGCTTCTCTCTTGGCCTCTCAGTACAGCTGTAATAGTCGTCATTCTTAACAGGCAATGTACACACCAATTCATTCAATGACACATTGAACATAACAGATTCACATAATTCCCATTCAAAATCAAGAAATGTTCAGCTCATTCAATTCACATTGGGAATTATTTTTAACACTCCGGAAATTAGCACATTAAAAAAAAAAAAAAACAATAATCCACATTTGCCACCACCATATTCCACATTTTCTCCAATGTCATTCCACAACATCCAATCTTTCCATATCATTTAGTATAATGTCATATCTTTCAATCACATTCCATATCATTCCAGATTTGTCAACAATTTCACATTTTTTACCAATATCATTCCACGTCTTCCAGTATCATTTTATTTATTTGAATATCATTTCACATTTTTCCACCAACACATTGTACTTATTTTTTCTGTCACCAATATATTTCACACCACTCCATCGTACTCCATGTCGTACCACATGCTTCCACGTTTTTTTTCATTCAGTCTTCCAGCATTCCTGCCCAATTTCTCCAGAAATTGACATTTTTTTTATTTTTAGTTAAACGTTCTGATCATAAATAATATACAGTATACACAATATAACGACCATGGTGTAAGCTAATTTGATTCAGTAAAAAAGAGGAGGTAATATAACGCCTCTTTAGTATTTACCTGTTAATTTCGCGTATTGATAAAATGCTATTTAAGCAATTATAATGGCGTTATTAAAGCGACAATCCCGCTGCGTGACTCCGTTCCATAAGAAGCCCCAATTCCATGCAAGGCAAGGAGGAAATCCACTCCAGGTCTTGCCGGCGCCCGCTCCCCTCCACTGAACTCCAACCCCCGCGCGCTCTATCAGCATCTCATTCCTGTCTCAATATGTCTCAAGATGGCGGCCAATGCAGGATCGATGTTTCAATATTGGAAGCGCTTTGACTTACAACAACTACAGGTCAGTGGACGCTGTCTTTTGATTCGCTCGGCTGCCGTTCTGCGAGTGGCTCGCACTTCTCTCCCGGCTGGGTTTAGTGTATGTTTTTGTTCCGCCGCCGCTTCGGTCGCAGGTTTACGGAGGGGGAACAGAGCCCGGAGAGCTCCCCCTCGCATTGATGAAAGTGGCTCCTCTCGCTGATCAGAAATTGATCCTCTTTGTTCAATTCCACATCGATCGGACCACTGCGACCGGCTACCGGCGGGGGCGACGTCGCCGGGATGCGATGAAATAACAAAGCCCCCCCCTATAACCCCTCCGAGCCACCGCCGACGAACGATGTCGGCCACTACGGGAAAGCTTTTTCGCCTTGGCCACCTTTTTTATCGCGTGTTGTTCAACTTTTAGTAGCCGTAGTTAGCCCGACGTTTTAGCCGCGAGCTGGCTACCTTAGCTGGGGGGTGGGGGGTAGGGGGGGACACACCAAGTGGCTCTGGTTAGACGGTGGCGCTATGAGGACAGCCGACTTTGACGCCACACACAACTACTCTCCTCTTTTTGTGGCATTTATAAGCAAATGAGCAAGTTTACTTGACGTTTTAGCGAGCTCTTCGGCTAGCGGTTTGAAGGCAGTTTGACGCCAAGTGGCAGTTTGGTCGGCTGTCTGTGAATGTATATGTGTGCGTGTTTTTTTTAACCACTTTTAACCCACTCTTGTTCGATGAGTGAAAATTAAACAACACTTAAATAGTGATACTGTAGTTCAATGTAATTTGATTTTTTACACCATACACGCGGAGGAGCCTGCTCTTGTTGCGTTTCTTTTTTTGTCTATTTATTTATTGCTCTCTACGATGAACTCCTGAAATCGTGCGTGCGTGAGCGCGCCTGCGGAACCCGGGCTGTAAATTGGGCCCAGCGAATGCGTGTGAACGGCGGCCTGCATGTACATGCGAGCCGGTTTGACCTATCACAAGACACCAAGACAATGGCACTGTTGTGAGTGTGTGCCCCCTCCTCGTTCCCCTCCTTGTGGCATTTAACGTGAACGTGCCCTAGTTGGACTTCAACACTTGATGACTATTAGAAGAATCCCATCTGGGTCATGAACAGAAAATGGCGTTATATGGGCAAAACACGGTTTCCCCAAATTTGCATGGGATCAAAACTTTCATCTGGGTCACGATGAGCACTCAGACAAAAGGAGAGTGAATAAGTCTTCCCGGTGGCCTTTGTGTTGCACTTATGCCACATCATCAAGGCTCCACTTCTCCTATTTATTTGATCCTACCCCTGCCCCCTTGTTCATGCATTATGTAAAAAAATGTGCCTCGCTATCTGTCTCCCTCCCCCTTCCTGTTCGCCATCCAATCTCTCACTGCCACCCTCCCCTCCTCCTCCATTTTTATTTTTTTCTTCCCCTTTCTCCTCACTGGCCCTTCACCCCGCTCTCACCCATTTCTCCCTGTTTGAACTGCTGTGTGAATTTGTGCGGGATCAGTCTCTCCCCCCCCGTGCCCCCCCTCCCTTTCCCCTCCCCTAGTAGATGGACTGCCAGAATGGACAGTGAAGGCAGCGCCAGCAGCCAGGACATGAAAAATGCATCGCATAAGTTTGTGATAAGGCCCTGGGTAATTATGGCAAAGGCCCCTATCACAAGCGATTAGTCAGGACAGTGAATCTGAGCGTGTGCAAAAAGGCTGGCGCTTGGCGGGCTTGTCTGCGGGATAGAAATCAGTCAGGGCTGGTGTGTGTGTGTGTGTGTGGGGGGGGGGGGACTCCTCAGAACATTCACTGTCTATTATTGATGACATCCTATTTACTCTCACTCACACCAAGAGGCTCCCGGAGGAAAGTCCTCATTTGGATCAATTTTTCTGCACGTTGTAGAGGATTATGCAAAAGGAGGGGGCGAATTTCCCACCGATGACTCGGACAAATTTGTAGGAATGTTGCTCGAAATCTATCTAGCAAACCCAACTTGCCTTGACTACACTGTGACGAAGATATGTGATGTCAGACTCCAAAACTATAAACTACAGTGAGGCCTCAGTTTACGATGGAGTTGTGTTAACGTGTTTTTCCGGCGGTCCATTTCGATTGTATTGATGGGTAATTGACGAAATAGAGCAATAATGTCAAGTTGGATAAATATCTGGTGTTTCCATCTTCGTGTCTGGTCTTGTATCCGCCAAAACAGCGCACCGGGAATCCCTGTGCTTAATTTTGTCATGTTTGGAACGGATGTGGCGTTACCTTGTTGACACATCAGTTGCTATTGAGTGATGTGCCAGAATGTTATTGTTGTCATATATATTGTCATCTGCTTCGGGGCTGGACTCGTACCTTGATTTCGTGATTGGTGTTGGTTAAATAATTTAACCACCAAATCTTTGTCATAGCTGCCATGAGATCTCGGACAGAAAGGTTCTGCAAATTATTATAAGCTTGCTTTAGTACATCCTTTGTAAGAAAGGTTCTGCAAATTATTATAAGCTTGCTTTAGCACATCCACTTCTTGTCACCAAAAGGTGTTTTGGATGCAAAATCATTTATATTTTTCCTTTTGACCACCACAGGTAGATTTCAAGCAGAATAATGCCGTTAGTTGAAGTCAATTATGGTTCTGAAACATCTGACCTTTCTTCTTCTGTAACCGAATGCAGCACCGAAATAAACACATTGAAAATGAAGCCCGAAAGCTCATGTATGATTAATGAATTAATTGTCAAAGATGAATACAGAGGACCTTTTTATAATGATAGTTTTTTACAGTAAAAGGTAGTTTTAGTGAAAAAAAGTATCACTTTCCATGATGAAAAATTTTGAGGTCACAGGACAACGGTCGCACCCGCAGAGGTGCACTAAAATGCTTTCTGCAGTTTAAAGCTGTTCATAGTCGGGGGGTGGATACACGAGACAGAAGGTATAAAGCGACGATATAGAGAGCACAGGAAAAAAAAACCTTTTTGTCCAATTGAAGTTTAATGTAAAAAGTTTACTGTCAGTTGAAGTTTACTTTAAATCAAATTAAGCAACGTATATGTAAACAGCAACACATTCAACCAAGCCATATTATTTATTTATCGAATGAAAGTCCGATATTTTAATACTCACACGTTATGCAAAACACCAGAGACCGGCCATCTGATATTTGCATGGATGTTACAGTAACTCGAAACCTTGAAACGACGACTACTTGAATACAGAGGGGGCAGCAACATGTACAAACATAGCATCAAGCCATACTCACAGGTATATGTGTCTCAATTGGGGATCTTCTCTGCCTCCTTTCTTTATCTTAATGATGTCGCATCCCTTCCAGTCGACTTCTGTGCTTCCCGGCAAGCGATAAACCACAAATGGCACCATTTGCACACGATATATTGGCGATATATTTGGGATCAAGCAGATTACATTTCCTTGATCAACAATGGGGTCCATTTTTAATTGTTTTTTTTCATGGGATTGTCCTGTATTTCTGGCCCAGAAGTGTTTTGCACTATAATTATGATTTTATTACTTATGTCAGCATAGGTTAGTGATAGGTTAGCATCCTGATTTCACAAATGTACTCTTTTTCTAATGCCATAGTTAGAATTCTTCGAGACTCCATTGTCATTCCAGTTACGACTTGCAACAGTTTTCACATACTCAACATGCGTAGTCTCTCTGTGAAATATTTTGTTGGACCAGACATAGTTTGTCTCCATCATATTTTGTGGTTTTCGACATAATCCACAGTTATGTCGCGCTGAAAGACATGCTGATTGAGATCAACCACATATTTGTTGTCGACTTTCAACTGGAACTCTTTGAGGTCCAACCTCTGAACTTCCAAGCGGGTTGTTTCCCAGCTCTCCGGAATGCAGCGTATATCATCGCTGTTCAGACAAAACTTTGTCTGTCTGCATTTGGACATTTTCGAACATTGAGATTCTCCTCCATGTACAATTAAAATTGTGCAGTTTAGCGCCGAACCAAAACGGGTTGTATTACACCACATTTTTAGTGAGACCAAGACCCGTACATTCACTTTAAGCGGACTTTGTATGAAGACATGCCGCTCGTCGTTACTTTGATATAATAAATTAAGTGAGGACAACCTTGGTTTTGAGTAGATGCTGATGGGCCTGGGCGATTATGGGGGAAAAAAAAATCATCTACCGGTACATTCTTTTGATTGAGCTTGAAATCACGACGAAGAAAATGATTTTTAATTGATTTCAAAAGTAAGTATTTATTCACCAACTAAAAACTCACCTACTCAAAACTGTCGTCATAGCCTTATGCCCGTTCATCCCTGCACGTGGAACGCTTTATTCTTGAAAACTCTCTTCTTTTTGTCAAGTACAAAATGACCTTGTAAATATGTGAAATTCGAGCTTCTTGCCTTTTCGTTGTTAAAACCCGTATCTCACTGAGCGGCCAAGGTTTGCAAGTGTATGCGCACATCGACAATGTTCGTTTTGTTTTTTTGTGGTCAGGGTTTGTTCAGTGTTGCAAAGACGTTCGCGAGACACAGAACAGTTTTAATGCTTGCTGCCAACAGTTGTTCCACAAGAGATGCTACAGCATTTAAATACACGTGTGTAATTGTTTTTGTTGTGTGTTTCGTTTTACTGTACGCTCCAACTAGGGGTGTCATGAAACAGCTTGAATAATGCTCAGGGGCGGCGGAATCACATACACAACATGGAGCGTTTCAGGGAACTTTCATGACGTTGGGAACCTGTCAGCGCGCCGCACCGTTCTGCATATTCATGTTTTTTTTCTTTGATGGGAACGTTTCAAAGATGGACAGAAGCCAAGATGGAAATCATGATTATATTTGGTTTCATCAGCCAGGGCCTGATGACAAACCAATGTCTCGTTTCACTGAACCGAGTCTCATTGATACACTCAGGTTAAAATCCGGAAGCGAATTCAGCCATTAAACGATGAATTCTGCTCCTTTCGTAAGTCATCACTGCATCTCGAGCTTTTTAATATGTCTTTTTTACTTTGCTACACCAACCTAA